AATCCTAAATATTCATAAGAACACCTCTGGACCTAATAAGCAACTGCGGCAAGGCTGGAGGAAACAAAGTTAATACACAAAAATCCACTCCTTTCCTACACATCAGCAATGAATTTGAAACTAAAAACACAATACCATTTACATTAGCACACCCCACCAAAAAAATACAATCTAACAAAATTAATCTAACAAATTAAATAAATCTAAAAGAATATACATACAGGATACATGTGAGGAAAACTACAAAACTGATAAACAAAAAAAAAGAACTAAATAAATGGATATCCCACATTCATAAGTAGGACTCAATATCGTCAAAAGGTCAGTTCCTTCCAAAATGATGTTTAAATTTTATGCAATTCCAATCAAAATCTCAACCAGTTGTTTTGTGGCTATCAACAAACTGATTCCAAAGTTTGTATAAAGAAGCAAAGAACCAGGACAACCAACACAATATTGAAGGAGAAGAACAAAGTTGAAGGCTGACAATGCTCAACTACAAGACTTACTATAAAGCAACAATAGTCAAAGCAGGCCAAGGAGGAGACAAGTGTCCCAGGAGAAGGAAGAGCTTGCTTAGGCTTGTAATTCAGTAAGCACCCACTTCCAGATACCAAAATTCACTCCAGTTACTACTGCTGTGTAACAAACCACCACAAAACTTAGGGCTTAGAACAACCACCACCATTTTATTAATCTCAGAAAATAAAAATTTGAAAACTCCTCCCCCAAAAATTAAAAGTGGGCAAAAGACCTGAATGGATACCTTACCAAAGGAAACATACAGGTGGCAAATAAGCTCATGAAAAGATGCTCAGCATGATATATCAGGGAAATGCAAATTAAAACAACAATGAAATATCGCTACATACCTATTAGAATGGCCAATATCCAAAACCTTGACAACAACAAAGGCTGACAAGGATGTGAAGCAAAGCAAATTCTCATTCACTGCTGGTAGGAACGCAAAATGGGATAGCCACTCTGGAAGACGATTGAGCTGTTTTTTTACAAACTAAACATACCGTTACAATGCAAGCCAGCAATTACACTCCTCGGTATTTAGCCAAATGAGTTGAAAAGGTATGTCCAGTCCTGGCTGGTGTGGCCCAGTGGACTGAGTGCCAGCCTGCAGATCAAAAGGTTGCTGGTTCAATTCCCAGTCAGGTCACATGCCTGGGTTGAGTGTCAAGTCCCCAGCTGGGGGCATGAGAGAGGCAACTGATTGCTGTTTCTCTCACATGACATGTTTCCCTCCCTCTCTTTATCCCTCCTTTCCCCTCTCTCTAAAAATAAATACATAAAATCTTTTTTAAATAAAAGAAAGAAAATGTATATCCATGTTAAAACCTACACACAGATGTTTTTGCAGCTTTATACATAATTGCCAACATTTGGAAGCAACCAAGATGTGCTTCAGTAGGTGAACAGATAACTGAACTGTGTACATCCAGACAATGTAATATTAATCAATGCTAAGAAGAAGGGAGTTATCAAGCCATGAAAAAACATGAGGGAAACTTAAATGCTAATACTAAGTGGAAGAAGCTAATCCAGAAACACCACTTACTCTATGATTCAAAGTATATGATCTGGCAAAGGCAAAACTATGGGAACAGTAAAAGGATCAGTAGTTGCCAGGGGTTACCAAGTTATCATGGTTGAAGGAAGGGACTGATGAATAGGTGGAACACAGAGGATTTTTAGGGCAGTGAAAAGTATTTTGCATAATGCTGCCATGGTGGAAACATATCATTAAACATACATCAAAGCCCATAGGATATACAACAACAAGAGTGAACCCTAATGTAAACTACGGAATTTAGGTGGCAAAGACATGTCAATGTACTTCCATCAGTTGTAAAAAATGTACCGCTCTGGTTCAGAATACTGACAGTAGGGTAAGTTGTGCATGTGTAAAGGGCACAGTATATAGGGAAACTCTGTAGTTTCTACTCACTTTTGCAGTGAACCTTAAAAAGCTCTAAAAAATAAAGTTAATTTAAAAAAATGATTTTACATCATGACCATATTGTATGTATCCCAGGAATGCAAAAGTGGTTCAACATACAAAAACCAATCAATGTAATATACCACATTAATGAAAGAAAAAATAAAAACTAAAGATCATCTCAATCAATACTGAAAAGGTATCACCCTTTCATAATTACACACTCAAAAAACTAGGAATAGAGTATTTCCTCAACATGAAAAACATATAAAAAACCCACAGCTAACACCATAATCAATGATGAAAGGTAAGTTTTCCTGAGATGACCATTTTCACCACTGCTATTGCTATTTAACATTGTGCTGGAAGTTCTAACCAGAGGAATTCAAAAGGAAAAATAAAAAATAAAAGGCATCTAAATTGGACAGAAAGAAGCAAAACTATTTTTATTTGCAGAAACGTGACCCTATATGTAGAAAATCCCAGAGAATCCACAAGAAAGCTACAAAAGGTAATAAACAAATTCAGCAAAGCTGCAGGTTGCAAGATCAAAAAATAAAAATCAGTTGCATAGCTGTCTTTCTATACACCAATAATGAACAATGTATAAAGGAAATTGAAAAGGCATTCAATTTATAATAGCACCTGAAGAAAAAACCAGGAATAAATTTAACCAAGAGGTGAAAAACATGTACTCTAAAAACTATAAAACATTGCTAAATAAAAGAAGACCAAAACGAATGGAAAGACATCCTGTGTTCATTGACATTGTAAAGATATCAGTACTACCTGAAGTGATCTACAGAGCCAATGCAATCCCTATCAAAATTCCAAAAGCCATTTTTTTTTTTTTGGCAGAAATGGAGAAAGCCAATACTAACATTCATGTGAGATTGCAAGGAGCCCCAGAGAGCCAAAACAATCTTTAAAAAGAAGAACAACATGCAAACACACACTTTTGAATGTTAAAACTTACTACAAATCTAGAGTAATCGAAACGGTGATACTAACATATGGATAGATATATAGATCAATGGGATAGTATTGCGAGTAACAGCAATAAACCCATATATCTATAGCCTTTTGATTTTCAACAAGGATGCCAAGTCCATTCAATAGGGAAAGAATAGCTCTTCAACAAATGGTGTTAGGATAGCTGGATTTCCACATGCAAAAGAATGAAGTTGGATCCCTAGGTCACACCATATTACACAAATTAACTGAAAATTTATCAAATCTAAATGTAAAAGTTAAACACATAAAACTCCTAAAAGAAAACAGGGAAAAGCCTTCATGGCACTGGACTTGACAACAAGTTCTTAAATATGATGCCAAAAAGCACAAACAAGATCAAGAAATTAAACCATCACATTTAAAAATTTTGTGCATCAAATGACATTGTCAAGCGCGCACACACACGCACACACAAACACACACACACACACCCCCACGACCCCCCCAGATTCCCTATGGAGAAAATATTTGTAAATTATATATCTTATAAGAGTTTAATATCCAGAATGTATAAAGAACACCTACAACTCAACAACAAAAAATAATTATGGTAATAAAAATGGACAAAGGACTTGGATAGATATTTCTCCAAAAATATGCAAATGGCCAATAAGCACATAAAAAATACTCAAAATCATGAATCATTATAAAAATATAAAGGAAAACCACAATGAGATAACACTTCATATCCATTAGGGGAGTTATAATCAAAGCATATCAGAAAATAACAAGTGTTAATGAGAACATAAAGAATTTAGAACCCTTGTGCATTGCTAGTGAGAATGTAAAATAGTGTGGCCTCTGTGAAAACCGTAGTGTTTCCTCAAAAAATTAAAATTACCATATAATTCAGCAATTTCACTCCTAGGTATATGCCCAAAAGAACTGAAAACATAGGTGCCTGTACACCCATGTTCATTGCAGTATTATTCACATCAGCCAAAAAGCAGAAAGAACCCAAGAATCAATCGACAGATGAATGATTAAACAAAATGCAGTATATACATGCAATGGAATATTATTCAGCCATAAAGTTAAATTAAGTTCTGATACATGCTACAACATGGATAGAGCTTGAAAACACTAAGCTAAGTAAAATAAGCCAGACCAAAAAAAGGACAACTATTGTATGAGTCTACTTACATGGACTATCTTGAATAGGTAAATTCACAGAAACAAAGAGGAAATTGAGATTACCAAGACATGAAGGCAGGGCAAACAGGGAGTCTCTATTTGGGGTGATTTGAAAAGGTTTTGGAAATAGCGGTGACAGCTACACACAGTGTGAATGAAATCAGTGTCACATATTGTATCCTTAAAAATGGTTCAAATGCAAATTTTATATATGTTTTACCAAAATTAGAAAAAAAAAAAACACTTTTTCTAAAGACAAGAAAAAATCACCATGGCAGAAACAAAAAATGAGGGTGGGTCAATAAGCGAGAGTGCATTCACCCTACGCAGGAATTCAAAACAAATCTAAGAAGGAAATCAGCGAGGAGGAAAGCAGTGTCAGCAGTCCCCACCTCACACTCGCAACCCACCCAGATGGGAGAGTCCCTACCACCTGCCTGTGACTCAGGTCAGACCGTATCACCAAAAAGCCATAAGGCAAAGACACAGCAAGGTCTGTTAACGTGTCACATACCAGCTATGTATCTGGCACCACTGAAGGCCCTGGAGATAAAACTGAATAATACATCAAGACCCTTGCCCTCGTGGAACTCATAGTTTAGTGGGCAAGTCATAAATCTAACTGAAAGGAACAGAAAGGACTTCTGAAAAAGTAAAGGCCTTATATAAAGTTGAGGAGTAAAGTTATCTATACACCCTTAAGAAATAGGAAAGTATAAAAGAGGCATTTTGAGAAATTAATATTAAAATGGAAAAGAGCTTTCACAACAATATCTGAGTTCTTTCTTTGGACATGGAAGGCCACATCCCATGAAAAAGCAGAAGGCAGACACCAGGGGCCCAGGCAGCCCTGACTCCCCCCAACCACCACCTGACGTTTATGAGAGCTTCTCCCTCCTACCTGAAGCCACTTTGGGTTGGTTGCCAACAATTCCAACGGTCCTCCCATTCATTCTTGCAAAACCAACAATGATGTTCTTGGCATAATTGGGCATGATCTCAAAAAATTCTCTCTCATCAACAACCTGCAGGGATAAATTTACTCCTGAGCTCAAAATGAGAAAGAAGAAGATGCACCGACATTACAGAATGACAGAGCCGGAGGGCCACCACCCCACCACAGGTTCTCCCACAAAGCAAGACAACGGGCAGAGGGACGCGCTCTCCCTGATGGACAGGGAGACCCTCGTGTACACTGCTCTGGGGAGGGTTAAGCAGTGCAGCCTTTTTCAAAGCTTCTATTTGAATCTGGCATTATTTATTACACTTTTTTACTTCATTCTGAAATCATTTCAAACCTATATAAAAGTTTTTTTTTTAACAAATGATAAGAAGTTTTGTAACTGTGTAGACATTTCAAGTGGCCTGTTATGGTTATACACACACACATGCAAAATGCACATCCATTTTACTACAAAATTTTTAAACAAATGACAAAACTTATTACATAAATAAAGCTTTTAAATGGATGTAAGGAATCTTCCATGGTTAGTAGATTCATATTTAATTACGTGGCCTTTTACCTGACATATTATACATTTATTAAACTTAAATGATTATTTCAATTTATTACTTTTTAAGAAGTGATCCTCCATATGTAGTTACTCAAGAGAAATGTTACTTGCATTGACCTTAAGCTAAATACACAATTATCAACTACAGACAAGGATTTAGTAATGTTTCAAGTCTTTTAGTATTTACTATTTTTTTATAAGTGGAACCTAATCAACAAAACAAACAAGCAAGCAAAATATAACCAGAGACATTGAAATAAAAAACAGACAGTAACCAGAGGGGAGGGGACAGGGGGATATTGGGGGAAAGAAGGGGAAGGGTCATCAAGGAACATGTATAAAGGACCCCTAGACAAAGCCAAAGCGGGGGTGGGACTGAGGGTGGGAGATGGGGGGGGGGGGACAGGGGAGAGTGGTGGGGGGAAAATGGAGACAACTGTACTTGGACAATAAAAAAAAAAAAACCCATATAAAAATTTTCAGAATAGGTTTTTATAATGTGTATATCCTTTACCCAGATTCCCCATTTATTAACATTTTACCACATTTTACCATTCCTTCTCTCTCCCTACTTGCCTATCCCTTTTTCTCTCAATCCATCTCTATTTTTGTATGTGTATGTATATGTACACATTTTTCTAAATATCCTACATATATATGTGCATATACACACACAAAATTTTTTTCCTGAACCATCTGAGAGTAATTTACAGATATGATATCTTTTTAAAAATTGATTAGAGAGAGAGATCTGTTGTTCTATTTATTTATGCATTCATTGGTTGATTCTTGTATGTGTCCAGACTGGAAATCAAACCCACAGCCTTTGGCATATTGGGACAACGCTCCAACCACCCGAACTACCCAACCAGGGCCAGATATGCTACCTCTTCACCTCTAAATCCCTCACTGTGTATCTCTTATAAGCATGGACATTCTTTTATATAACTATACTGGTATTAACAAAATCAGGAAACTAACAGGAATACTATTGTCTGTTATAAAACTTTATTCAAATTTTGCCAGTTATTCCAATAATATCCTTTATAGCAACCCAAACCTGGTTACAGAATCTGACCCAAGATCACCTGGTGCATTAGCGGTCATGTCTTTTAGCCTGCTTTAGTTTTTTCACTTCAGTCTTTGCCTTTCACGGTCATGACATCTTTGAAGACCATAGATTGGTTATTTGATTATTTGCCTTCTATTTGGATTTGTTTAATGTTGCTTTGTGTTTAATTTCAGGTTAAGTATTTTTGACAGTAACACAGAAGAGTCCCTCTTTAGCAAATCACATCAAAAGACACATGGTGCCAATTTCTCCATTAATGGTGGTGATATATGCCAGGTTTCTCCCTTGTAAAATTACTATTTTTCCATTTGTAATTAAGCATTTTGTAAGCAAATACTTTGAAACTATGTAAAATTCGATACCTCATTAAATTTTCATCCACTGGGTTTACCATTCATTAATGATTCTTGCCTGACCCAATTACAACTATCATAGTTGCCAACTAGTGATTTCTCTATTTCTATTTTCCCTGAATCTCTTAGTCAGCATTTCATTGTTAGAAAGATCTTTGCCTTTCCCATTTAATTATTTGTACAACCCGCAAGCATGAACTATGGATTCCTGTTTTGTTATGTAGATTGTAATCTTTACCATCATTATTTATGTTCATATTGCCCCATATTTGCCAGGTAGAGCTCGTTCAAGGTGGCTCCCAAACCCTTTTGATATTTCTTCAACATTCTTTGAGTATGCCTGACAATCTGGAATTACCTTACTTTCGGGTTGATCTTGTTTTTTTTCCCCTGCCTCGGATGTAGAATTAGCCATTTCTCTAAGGCACCCAGGTTCCTTTTTAGGAGAGTGAGTGAGTGAGTGAGTTTGGGCGTGTGTGGGCGTGTGCGCGTGTGCGCGTGTGTGCACGCACTTCTAAGAAGCTGTCCTAGAGGACAGAGCTTGGAAATCCACAGAGAGACACTTACACTTACTTCTAAAACTGGTATAAAAGTCATGAATCTGTACTGATAACTCCAATTCTAGTCCAATCCAACTACAGGGTTCATTCTAGCTCTCCCCACTTCAATATTCATGAACTCCTCTCTCTTACAGCAGACATCTTACCTCCATTATTCTCAAAATGCACTCATTCAATCCTCAAATACAGAGAAAATGACTTCAGAATTGCTAATCCATATGCCCACAAAAACACAAATCCAACTAAAATTCAGTATTTCTTTACCACTATTTCCATCATTAGACTAAAAGTAGTTTACTTTAAAGGTTTTCCCCCGTCTTGTTGATTTTATTTTTTTTAATATGTAAACATAACATAGTTTAATAGTGTCACTCTTCATCCCTTCCACCCACCCTCTTATTAATCTCATTATTTTCTGTTTTATCTTCCATGTATATATTACAGAGATGAGCATATACATTTATATCTTTTTGATTACCCCTCATATCTTAGATGAAAAGTAACATACTATACTTTTGCACTTTGGGTTTCTTCACTTAACAATATATCCTGGAAATCCCTCCATATCAGTTCATAGACATCTTTCTCATTTTCACTTCTGCATAGCACTCTGTTGTGTGGATATACCAAATCTATTCAACCATTCTCCTCTGTGTTGTTACCATTATTTTGAAGCTTACATTCAGGTTGTTTAAAATATTTTTCAATGATAAGTAACAATGTCACAATAGTAATATTGTGCATTTATAATTTTGTATGGTAAGCAGTGTATCTTCAGAAAAAAATCCTAGAAGTGGAACTTTTTGGTCAAAGTGTAAATGCTTATTTAGTCTTAGATATTACCATATTCTCCTAAAGCAATGTATGAGAATGTGCTTCCAACAGAATTACCAATGGAACGTGTTTTCAAGTTTCTTGTATTTAGCTAAACTGACAAATGAGAAATAACTCTGTGTAATTTTAATTTGCATTTCTAGCATTGTGAGTAAAGTTGAAAAATACATACTTTACCAAAACTGACCACAACAAAGATAAACTTCAAATAGATATGTTTACATTAAAAAACAAGAAATTATCAAAAAGCTAATCCTTCTCCCCGAAAAGAGCACTACGCCCTGAAAATGTGGCAAAATTTCTACCAAATCTTTTTTTTTTCATCTTCTTTTGCTTATTTGAATTTATTGGGGCTACACTGGTCAATAAAATTATGTAGGTTTCAAGTGTATAATTCTACAATAAATCACCTGCACATCGCCTTGTGAGATTACAATCCAAAGTCTAGTCTCCTTTGTCACCATTCATCCTGTTTACCCTCTTCAACCTGCCCCCACTGCCCCTTCCTTCCAGTAATCACCGTACTGTTGTCTATGTCTATGGGGTTTTTTAAAAAAAAATTTTTTTATTGATTTGAGAGAGATGAAGAGAGACTTGTTTTTCCACCTATTTATGTACTCATTGGTTGATTCTTATAAGTACCTGACCAGGGACTGAACCAGCAACATTGGCATATCGGGATGACACTCTAACCAACAAAGCTACCTGACTGGGACCCATGAGTTGTTGTAGTTTCTGGTGTTGTTATTGCTTAACCTCTTCACCTATTTCACCCAGCCCCACAGCCTCCCTCCCCTCTGACAGCTATCAGTCTGTTCTCTGTATCTGTGAGTCTCTTTCTGTTTTATTTTGTTCATGAGACTGCACATGTAAGTGAAATCATATGGTACTGGTCTTCCTCTGACTATTTCACTTAGTATAACCTCTAGGTCCATCCATGCTGTGGCAAATGGTAAGATTTCATTCTTTTTTTATAGCTGAGTGGTATTCCATTGTGTAAATGTACCACTGCTTTTTTTATCCACTCATCTACAGGTGGGTACTTGGGGTGCTTCCAAATTTGGCTATTGTAAATAACACTGCAGTGAACATAGGGGTGCATATATTCTTTCAAATCCGTGTTTTGGTTTCTTTGGATATTGTCCCAGAACAGGAATCACAGTCATAATGCAGTTCCATTTATAATTTTTTAGGAAACTCCATACTGTTTTCCACAGTGGCTGCACTAGTCTGCATTCCCACCAACAGTGCACTAGAGTTCCCTTTTCTCCATATCCTTGCCAACACTTGTCATTTGGGAATTTTTTTGATGATAGCCATTCTGACAGGTGTGAGGTGCTATCACATTGTGGTTTAAATTTGCATTTCTCTGATGATTAGTGACATTGAGCATCTTTTCTTATGCCTATTGGCCATCTGTATGTCCTCTGTGGAGAAGTTTCTATTCAGGTCCGTTGCCCAATTTTTTTAATTGGATTGGTTGGATTTTTTTGGTGTTGAGTTGTATAAGTTCTAAAAATTTTGAGTATTAACTCTTTATCAGATGTCTCATTGGCAAATATGTTCTCCCATTCAGTGGGTTGTCTTTTCATTTTGTTGATGGTTTCGTTTCTTTTGCTGTGCAAATAGTTTTTAGTTTGATGTCACATTTGTTTATTTTTTTCTTTTGTTTCCCTTGCCTAAGAAGATATATCAGAAAAAAATATTGCTACAAGAAATGTCAGATGTTTTACTGCCTATGTTTTCTTCTAGGATTTTTATGGTTTCAAGTTTTACATTTAAATCTTTAATCCATTATGACTATTCTTGTGCATGGTGTCGGAAGGTGGTCTAGTTTCATTTTTTGAATGTATCTGTCCAATTTTTCCAACACCATTTATTGAATAGACTGTCTTTACTCCATTGTATGTTCTTGCCTCCTTTCTCAAATAGCAATTGACCATATTGGTGTGGGTTTATTTCTGGGCTCTCTACTTTGTTTCATTGATCTATATGTCTGTTTTTATGCCAGTATCATGCTGTCTTGATTACTATGGCCTTGTAGTATAGTTTGATATCAAGTAGCATGATACCTCCAACTCCGTTCTACCTTCTCAAGACTGCTAAGATTCTTTGGGGTCTTTTGTGGTTCCATGTATTAATACACTTTTGGGATATTCTAGTTCTCTGAAATAGGCCATTGGTGTTTTAATAGGAATTGCGTTGAATCTATAGATTGCTTTGGGTAGTATGGACATTTTAATGATATTAATTCTTCCTGTCCATGAACATAGTATATGCTCCCACTTATTTGAATCTTCATCAATTTCTTTCCTCAGTATCTTATAATTTTCAGAGTACAGGTCTTTTACCTCCTTGGTTAAATTTATTTATGTGTACCTTTTTTTCTTTTTGATGCAATTGTAAATGGTATTGTTTTCTTAGTTTTTCTTTCTGATGGCTCACTAGTATATGAAAATGCCACTGATTTCCAAAATAATAATTTTGTATCTTCTATAAAAATCTTTAAAGAGCAAATAATCCCAACCCTATGTAAATTGTTCCAGAGCATAGAAAAAAAGAAAACTTATGAATTCTATTTATGGTACTTTATGAACTGAACTGTGACCTCCCCAAAATTCTTAGGTTAAAGCCTAACCCCCAATGTGACTATCTTTGGAGATACGGCCTTTAAGGAGATAATTAAGGTTAAGTGAGATGATACAGATGGGGCCCACCTGTTGTCCTTGTGGTCCTTATAAGAGGAGAAAGAGACATGAGAGACCTCTCTTTCCATGTGCAATTGAAGAAAGGCCACATTAGGACATAGCCAAAAGGCAGGATCTGCAAACCAGAGACAGGCTTCTCCAGAAACCAACTCTGCTGGCACCTCAATCTTGGACTTGTACTGTATCTACTAAAGCTAAATGTACATATACCCTGTGATGTGGTACCTTCATTCCTAGGAATGGGTCCACCAGAAATGTGTAATTTATTCACCAAAAATCACAAAATAAAATGTTCATATCAGAACTATTTGCAATAGCCCCAAACTAGGAATTACCCAAATGCTCATCAACAGTAGATAAATTGGTCTGTTCATACAAAAGACTAAAGAGACCAAAGAGAACATATGCACTGATATGGACAAGTCTTACAAATATAACATTGATTTAGAAGCAAGACACAAAAGACCACACACTATATGATTCCATTTATATAATATACAAAAACAAGAAAAACTAATTTATGCTGTTAAGTCAGGATGGTGGTTTCTCTCAAGGGTTTGGGGGAAAATACTGACTAGAAGAAAGCACCAGGAAGGCTTCTCTCTCCATGTGACGCATTTTATTTGGTCTATTCTGTCATTTTGTTACTTAGGAAGGTTTATATTTTTTTTCATATGTCACCTCTATAACTATATCACTTTAATGCCACTAGTCTCCTGGGTTTAGTAATTTAGAGAGGTCAGTAGCAAGTCTGTTACTCAATGGAGGGAGAAAACCAGAAGCCAGATTCTGGTGAGGAGGAAAGGAAGAAGAGACGAGAGGAGTTTAAGTGAAAAGAAAAGAATTTGGACAGCAGTTATAGCAGAAAAGAAATCTATACATGTTCATACACATTTATTGCTCAGAGAAAGGAATAATGAGAGGGAGAAAAAGTTAAACATTTAAAAAACAGTCAAGAAAGCAAGACCCCTAGATGGGGAAGGATGCAGTCAGGAGTCCAGGTGGAAACAGTTCATTCTTTGAGCCCAGAGAAACATGAGAAGAACAGTGAGGATGAAAAAGTGGTCACTTGTGGGGAATGAAAAACCTGATGCTCTCAATATTCTCCATGAAGGAAATGCCCATGTCATCTGATCAGAATGGGAAGTGAAGGAAGAAGTTAGGGGCTGCATCAGGCCACAGGACAAGTGAAGACCAGGTGTGGAGTGGAGGTCCACAGCACACACCCAGGCCAGAGAGGCACACTGAGGGCCCAGCTGAGGCTGGGGTCGGGCTCTGGGGCTTTCCTCCAGCTGCCTCAGACCCCAGAGGCAGTATTTGGAAAGACGACTGAAGACTTGAAACAGGGACAGGACTCTACAGGGCAAAAGGAGAATCAGGCGCTCATGACTGAGACCGTACTTTACTTTCGTCAGGGTACTTTTTTTTGAACCAAAACTATCCTTGTTATGTTTACATTTGTTTTCTCTCTCTCTCACCCAAATGTGAGATCCCTGAGGGAGGGATTTTGTCCATCACTGGGAAGAGTACCTGGGCATTAGTATCTGGCAGAATGGCAGAGTCCAGCTAGCACAAGAAAGCAGATGCCTGGAGGGGTGGAGGATTCCAGAGGAATGGGAAGACTGAGGGCTGGACAGTCAAGGGGCAGGGGGACAGACAGAACTGTGAGGATGGAGAGAGTATTGAAGGCTGAGTTCAGAGAAGGGCATGCTGGTAGAAAAGTCTTGTCTTCGCAGCTCAAATGGTACTCAGTAGGCTACATAATCTATGAGGAGAGACAGAGTCTGGTCGCGGTTACTGACTTAGGCCGGCTCCCCAGAGTACAGGAGAAGAAGGAAGTCACTGCAGGAGTCAGGGCTCTGCGAGAGACGGGGCCCACAAAGCCCTCTGCTTTGGTTAAGCAAGGACTACTGAGAGCATTGTGTGCACGGGAGAGTGTGACGGAGACAATGGCCACCAACAGATGTCCCCCGTTTGCCCTGACATTGTCCTCCCTTCATAACAACCCAGGAATCTGTTACACCAACAAAAAGGTACAGATGACTCCTATCTCCCCACACCTAAATACAGTCAAACACACACATGCACCCAACCCTTGACATTGTTAGAGGATACCCTGTGTATTCTCCTTTACTAGAAAGACAAAATGCCCTCTAAGCATAAGGCTCCAAACAAAGGGTCGCCCTACCTCAACTACAGATTTCAGGGACATGCCCCTTCTCTATGTACCTCAAAGGGACATCAAACGACTCCTGAGTTCTGCTGGACCAACTGGTCCTTCTCTCTGCAGCCCTCAAGTCCATCTGAGCCAATAGGGTGGCTACAACCACTAGCTTTTCCCAAAACATACTATTCAGTGGTCCCTGGTCCTGGTCTACCCCATGTTCTGTCTGTATTGCTAGATGTTAAGGCCTGTGGATTCAGCACTTCCTCACTAGGCCAAAGCACCATGACCATGGACATGCCTGAGCTAGCACAGACAAGGCAAGCAGACGCAACACTTACAGAGTGTATGATGTCCGCCATGTTGTAGGCTTTGGTAGATTCCAAAGGGACAATTGTGTCGAGTTCAGGAACCAGACGGTCACTTTGGATAGGAAAAAAAAGCAGATATAATCAACACTGGAAGAGTGAGTTGCCTTCTCTGGGTGGGGAATGGGAGAAGAAATGAGGGCTTGCTGATGCATCCTTACTGGGCTTTCAAAGTAGTTCCTAAAGATGTATTCCTTTGTTACCACCATATTAAGCTGAACCTGAGCTTGCTATTCATCCAAAAGATCTTTCTGTTTTCACTTAGAAGAAAAAAATGGGCTTATTCCCCTGAATGTGACTCCTTCATTTATCCACTCTGAATAATTCCTACATCCTAAGTACTGTGTGGGGCACAAAAGGACATTGTAGGGAACACTGGCCCCAGTTCAACTTCCTGAGACATTAAAAAATAAAAGAATAAGGAATTGGAAATGCAAAATCTGAGTTCTGCTGAAATTACTGTGAGTTTACATTCTGCTAGAAGGCAAATCTGGTAGAGTTCCTTTAAAAAGCGAAGCTGCTGACCCCCTGGTGTGATGAGGACTAACCTGTTACACAGGCTCCTGGCTCTGTGCTTCCTCCTGTGTCTATGTGACTGAGCAAAGAGCCCGAGCAAGGGCCCACTCCCATGCCTCAGGAGGACTCTGTAGCATGCTCCTCTCCCACAAACTCTCATCCCTTCCCGTCCCATGAGGGCAGGCAGGGGTTTTTCCGGCCCTGATATATACACTTGGTGTAAGATTTGGCCTTGGTCAAGCCCCATCACCAATCAAACCCAACTTACCAGAAAGCTCTGCACTGGGACATTGAGTATAACCCCACCAGATAATAAAATTCCCCCTTATTTTTCATTTGTTCCTTATGCATATGCATACAGCTTCCCAAGGATCCTAAGAGGAGGGACGGCTGGGCCAAAGCAGGTTAATTGGACGTTTCTGGGGCCCTGGGCCATTAACACCTTCAAAAGATGTCCTAAACTCAAGAACCCCACATAGTATAGATGCTCAGAAAAGGAGGTTGTACTCACTGTTTCTGGACTTTGGGATCACCCTCCCTTTCATGACTACACATAGTGGGCCACTGAATGTGTCTGCTAAGGAAGGGAACAAGGGCAGACAGGGTGGGGTCCCGGGGACATGACTCTTCAGAGCATCCATGGCCCAGTCAGGGACCTACAGCCAGAAGCCCAGGTCCACCCAAGAGAGCAGTATCTGAAAATGGCTTCTCCCTGAGAAATACAATTCCAAATCCCTCTGAAGAAGAAAGTCCAGGCCAAGTGAGTGCTTCAAAATTAGAGAGGAAACAAAATGGAGAAGGAAGCAGCCAGAGATCCAGAGCAGCAGGTTCCCATCTGGGCCTCCGATTTACTCTGTGGTACCTCCCACATCTGGCTGTGGCCCCAAGAGAAAGTAGGACAGAATGTCTTCACTAAGTGGCCAGCAACACATCCTTCCCCAGGACTGCCCCAGCCTCTGGCCAGCAGCACAGGAAGACTTCCTAAAAGGCCTGTTGTCTCCAGCATTTTGCAGTTATTTCATATCAAGACACACACACACACACACACACACACACTCTCTCTCTCTCTCTCTCTCTCTCTCTCTCTCTCTCTCTCTCCCCCCCCATCTCTAATTCTGGGCAAATCAGGAACTCTTAGGAGTCAATTTTTTTGGCCACTCTTTATTCCCAAGCTACCTATGAGATATTACACAGAGAGGAAAAACATAAATAAAAGTAAAATCTTTCTTTGCTCCTATCCAGAGACATGCCACCACCATGCCCACACCTGGGCCAGCTGCACTCCACTATCTACCTCGGGTTGCCCAAAGAGTAAGACCCTGAAGGTCCAGCTAGGTCAGAGCGGTCAGACACGAGCAAGCCAACCTGCAAAATGAGAGAAGATGCTCTGGCCTGCCACTCACCTGGGATCATGGCACTCGCGGATGGGAGCCGGGTCCAGATTGCTGAGGGGCAGGTAGTTGAAGAACTCCCGGAGATTACACAACGCCTCCACATCATTTTCAAAAGCTCTGTGGGCAACACCTGAGAAAACAGGAAGGATATAATGTGCCAGGGTACCTGTCAGCCCAAAAATACTGTTTCATGCCTGCCCCTTCTAGAGCTTGTGTGTAGCAGACTGCTGATAGCTCTGTCCTCCCCATCCTCTACTGAGAATGATGGGGTATCACATACCTCCAGGCTGCTCTTCAGTTTATGCAGTCTGTTCCCTCTACTCTGTACCTTTGCAAAGATCACTCCTTTCTTTATTCAGGTATTTGCTCTAATGTGACCTATTCAAAGAAGCTTTCCCTGATCTCTCTCTAAAACAAACCCCTCCCTCCAATGCCCTCACTTTCCACCCCTGTCATGTGTGGGAGTTCTCTTCACACTTCTCCCTGCCTCGCCTGTTTCCCTCCCTGCTTACTGACTGACATTTCCCCTAGAATATCAGCTCCAGCAGGGTAGAGACCAGGCCTCTCTTACCCTGTAGTCCCACATCAAGAATAATGCCTAGTTGTATGTCAATTATCTCTCAACAAAGCTGGAAAATAAAAAATAATAATGTCTGGCACATAATGTCATGGTACCCAGCAATGAGGGAAGGAATGGAAGAAAGGAAGGGAATCACCTGGCCCTAGTGAGGATTCAAGTCATCATTCCTCAAGAACACTCTGAAATCACAGAGCAGCCAAACAAGGCCACAGACAGGGGAAAGTAGGGCCAGAAGCTCTCTCTCAGTTCACCCCACCAGACTCCCTGCTTCCACCATTGCCTCTACAGTCTCTTCTCCACATGACAGCTAAAGTTAGCTTTTTAAGTCAGATCATGGCATATCTCTACTCCAGTCACTCCCGCTCCTGCCATTCATTAGGCACGTCAGCCCTCTCCTCCCTCAAGGACCTTGCACAGGCAAGTGTGGCTCAGTGGATTGGGCGTCATCCCATAAACCAAAGGGTCCACAGTTCGATTCCTGGCCAGGGCACATGCCTGGGTTGCAGGTCAGGTCCCCAGTTGGGGGTGTGTGAGAGGTAACTGATGGATGATTCTCTCACTTATCGATGTTTCTCTTCCTATCTTTCTCCCTTCCCCTCTCTCTAAAAACAAATAAATAAAATCTTTTTTTTTTTAAATCTGCTTTGTTTCCCTCACAATGACACCTGCCCCTACCACCCTTCTTAAAACTGCAACAGCCTCAACCCCCTTTACTCTGTTCTACTGATTTCACAACACATATTACCTTATTTTATTAAGCTATGGTTTACCATCTATCTTCTCTGCTGGAATATAAACATCATATAGGCAGGGATCTTTTTATTTCTTTCACAAATGTATTCCTAGCAAGTAGAACAATGATTGACACATAGACATTAAATACATACAGGGGTGGGCAAAAGTAGGTTTACAGTGGTGAGTACACAAAAAAAGTTTATTCCTGTAGTATTAATTATTGCATTATTTTCCATATGAACAACTGTTTCTACTCTTGCCCACCCTGTATTTGGTGATGAATAAAAAGTATACTCAATGTGACAAAATTCTTTCATTCAAGATTTACAAATTGGCACAGTCACTTTGGAGGAGAGCAGGGCAATTCCTCAAAAAGTCAGTTACCATTTGACCCAGAAATTCCACTCCTAGGTACATACCCTAGGGAAACAAAAACATATGTCCACACAAAAATTTGAACATGGATGTTTACAGAAGCACATTCAGGAAAGCCAATAAAGTGAAAACAATCCAAATGTTTAACTGATCAATGGATAAACAAAATACGGTACATCTATACATTGAAATATTATCCAGTAATGAAAAGGGATGAATTACTGATTCATGCTACAATATGGTTAAATATATATTATCATGCTTAGTAACACAAATCTGTTGCAAAACACCACACGTTGCATGATTTCATTTATGTCCATTACATATATATTCAGAACAGATAAATCTATAAAAAGAGAAAGTAGATTAGAGATTGCCTAGAACCAGAGTATTTTGAGGGAAATGAGGAGCAAATGATAACAGGTAGTGGGTTTCTTTCTGGGGTGATGAAAATGTTCTAAAATTGACTGTGGTGATCATTTAGCAACCTGTGAATATGCTAAAACCACTGACTTGTATACTTGAAATGGGTATTTCACATGTATGTTAGGTGAATTATATCTCAATAAAGCTGTTGCCAAAAGTGTGTGTGTGCGCGTGTGGGCACATACATGCATGTAGCCTCTTTTGGATCTCTGAGGATACAGAGCTAAGTACATCAGACATGGCCCATCAGAGAGCCTCAGGCCCATAAAGAACACCAAATGCTGCCTTTAAAACTAAAACTATGCTTCAGAAGAAAATTCAATGACATGGGCAGACGCTCATTATACTCATTATTTTTAAGCTGTCAAGAGGAAAAAAACAGGCTACAAAAGGGAATTATGCACCTATGTTTGAGTATGTATATGTACATACACACCCATCTGCATGAAAAAACTGCAAGAGTAAAACCAAAAAAAGTTGTGGTGATTATCTGTGACTGATGGAATTCCTAGTGATTTTTATTCCTGTGTTTTCTAAATTGTCTACCACAGGCATGTAATATTACTGAAATCAGGAAAAATAAATATTTTATCAAGTCTAAGATGCAATCAAGACTCAACATTATTTTATGTCCCAATAAGAAACAAAAACTCCGGCCAATTAAGCCCCTGAGACAGGAGTGGTTGACGAGTTGTGGGGAATCAACAATGAGAAATGTTCTGATACTAGGTGTATATTGGAGGTAGAGCTGAATGGAGCTGATGGGAAAGGGAAAAGAATGACCCAAGATTGATGCCAACCTGACATTGGGGAGGAATCATTTTTGTGGACAGGGATCCTCAAGAGCTCTCACATTTTGCTTTTTTTAATCCTCACCCGAGGATATATTTATAGATTTCACAGAGAAAGGAAGGGAGGGAGAGAGAGAAAGAGAGAAAGGGAGAGAGAGAAAGAGAGAAAGAGAGAGAGAGAGAGAGAGACCGAGCAATACCAACGTCAGAGAGAGACATCAGTGAGTTAGCCCCTCCATATGCGTCCTGAGTAGGGATCGAACTATCAGTCTAAGTATGTGGCCTGACCAGGAATCGAACTCACAAACTTTTAATGTTATGGGATGACACTCCAACCAACTGAACCACTTAGCCAAGGCTCTCACATGTTTTTTTTTAAAAACCATATTTCAGCAAATCTAAGACTTTATGAGGCTTCCAGCCAAGGTTGCAGCATAGGTAAATGTGGTACTTGCATCCTCCCACAACCACATCAAAATTACAAACAGACTACAGACTACAGACTAAATAATAATCCAGAATCATCCTAAAGTTTAGCTGAACAGAAGTCCTAGACTAAAGATAAAAAGAAGAAGCCATACGAAACTGGTAGGAGGAGTGGAGATGCAGACTAGTTAGTCCCACATCCAGATAAAAATCGAGAGCGGTATCTCAGCTCAGGGGTCCCCAGTGAGGAGAGAGGGGTCCCAGCTGCACACCATGCACACCAGCGCATAGTTCCAGTGCCAAGAAGAGAAGTCTCCATAACTTCTGGCTGTAAAAACCAGTGAGGATTGTGGCTGAATGAGAAAGAGGTCTTCTGGAGTCCCAGGAATTCCTCTTGAGGGGCCAGTACATGGACTTGCTCAGACCCACTTGCTCTAAGCTCTAGCACTGGAGCAGCAGCTGAGGAGGCACCAGGGATGTCTGGGGAGGAATTGTATTATCTGGCATCTGGGCAAGAGCTGGAGGGGCAGCTTTCTCCCAGACAAAAGTGCTAGCAGAGGTCATTGTTCCTTTTCTGAACCCTCCCTACCCCAGCAAAGCTGATAGAGGAGCACTATATCTGGATCTCTGTGAACCAGGCTAACACTGTTCACCCCACCCTGGTAATTCCCTGAGACCCTGCCCCTCCCAACTTGCAGGTCTAACCCAAGCTGTTTCCAGTGGCTTTTCCATGTGAATGGCCTATCTTGGCTCAGCCTTCAGACTTCCATAAAATCTCTCAAAGAAGCAGCATCTGGCCTCCGCATGATCTATACCTCTTGATAAGTGGCACCAGGCCCAGTATTAATAGCAGCCAGCCTTTGTTTGCAGCTTGACCTCTCCTGAGCACCTCCAAGCCCAGCAGCCATCTGCAGATCACTTTGTAGCTCATGCCAGGTGGCCCCAGGCAGAACGCAGGTCGTGGATGACCTTGGCCTGCACCTCCCAGGATGCTCCAGAGCCAGAACACCCAGTGAACAGCTTCAGGCCACATCAAAGCACCACTCAACCACCTCCACAAGCAAAACACTCAAGGGGTGGACTCAGCAGGCACCAAAGCCCCACTGAAGTAAGTTCTGTTCCCTGAAGTGGGCTCCTGCACAGCAGATGCTCCACACTGGTCAAAGCCAGTCCCTGCAGCCAATCAGCCTGGGGGTCAATCCCTCCTGCTGATATGCCAACAGCAACCAAGGCTCAAGTACAACAGGAGGGCATACACAGCTCACACAGGCAGTGGAGGGGGCACACCTGGAGTGCCCTGCTTCAGTTACTAGGGAGGCTGTGTCTCTGGACTCTACAGACACCTACTAAATCAGACAACTCTACCAAGCCTGGGAGACGCAGCAGCTCTACCTAATACATAGAAACAAACAATGGGAAGCTGCCAAAATGAGGAGACACAGAAACACATCCCAGATGAAAGACAAGAACAAAATTCAAGAAAAAGAACTAAACAAAATAGAGCTAAGCAATCTTCTAGATGCAGAGTTCAAAACACTGGTTATAAGGATGCTGAATGAACTTTAAGGAAGAGTAGATAAACTTAGAGAAAACTTCAGCAAAGAGAAAATAGAACTAGAAAAGAACAAGTCAGAAATGAAGAATAGATTAGTTATGATGAAGAATACATTACAAGGAATCAACTGTGGAGTAGATGAAGTCAAGGATCAAATCAGAGATTTGGAAGGTAAGGAAGCAAAGAACACCCAATCAGAACAGCAAAAAGAAAAAAGAATTTTAAAAAATGAGGACAGTATATGGAGCCTCTAGGACAAGTGCAAGCATACCAATGTTTGTATCACATGGGTGCCAGAAAGAGAAGACAGCAAGGAATTGAAAACCTATAGTAAAAAATAATGACAGAAACTTCGCTAACCAGGTGAAGAAAATAGATGTACAAGTCCAGGAAGCACAGAATCCCAAAGAAGATGAATACAAAAAGGCGCACATCAAAATACATCATAATTAAAATGCAAAAGATTAAAGACAATGAGAGAATCTTAAAAGCAGTTTAGTTACCTACAAGGGAGGCAGGTAACTAAACTTCCCATAAGAATGTTAGCTGATTTCTCAACAGAAACTTTGCAGGCCACAAGGGATTGGCAAAAAGTATTAAAAGTCATGAAAAGCAAGGACCTATAACCAAGATCACTCTACCCAGCAAAGCTGTCATTTAGAATCAAAGGACAGATAAAGGGCTTCCCAGACAATAAAAAGCTAAAGGAGTTTATCACCACCAAACCAGTATTATGTGAAATGTTAAAGGGTCTTCCTTAAAGAAGAAAAAATATATATCAAAATTATTAATAATAAAATGGCAATAAATATAAACCTATCAACAACTGAATCTAAAAAGCAAAATAAAAAAGCAGAACAGACTCACAGATACAGAGAACAAACATTTTGATAATTGCCAGATTGGATGCAGGGGAAGGGTTGAGGGGATTAATTGGTTGTTAAGAGAATAGTCATGGGGATGTAAAATACAGAATAGAGAATATAGTCATGGTGACTATGTAGGGTATTATACGGATACTATATTTGTGGGGATGATCACTTAGTAAGTTATATAGTGTGTGATCACCAGGTTGTACACCTCAAACTAACATAATATTATATGTCAACTGTAATTGAAAAATAAAAAATTATTTAAAGTAAAAAAGAAAAAATCTGAGACTTAACTAATAATAAGTCACACCTCTATAATATGTACACTAAGAAAGAAATGATGATCCAATGAGTTAACCACAGTATGATGCAGTGCACAAATTGGTCATACCAGTCTCACATTGCTTTGAAATCTTTCAAAGAGGCAATTACTCCCGTATTCAGTTATACTGCTTATTGTGTTGTAGACGATTCTTTCACAGCTTGGTGTCTTTTTCCAAGAAAATATGGAATTCCAATCATTACTCCAACAACAAATGTCCTAGCTAATATCAGATTCATGCTCTGCTCCCAATTTCATGCCTCTTAGTATAAACAATAACTCTTTGTTTCAATGCCAGAATACCAAAATATTTTTATACATTTTGACTCAGCATGTGTGGCAAATATTATCTAAAAGAGGTAAAAAGCTATGACCAAGTTCATGAATATGTGGGCCATGACCACACATGGTGAGTTATAAAATGCCATTTACTACTCTAAGACATACCCCAACTTTAGAGTAAAAGAAAGTCTTAATAAGATACAATATTTTTTTAAAGATACAACTGTATATATGTAAGTCATACCTCTTATAACCACCACTTGGGTTAGCTTTAAAATTTTAAATATTAAAGCCTTAGTATTATTTTAACAAATTTGATACTAAATCCATCATCATTACTGTATCTGTAGTCAATATGCCATACTACAGTCCTCTTCTCAGGGTTTAAAAACAGTAAGGTGAGCCTCGAGGCCTCTAACCTGATATGGTGGTATGGGTCCTGGCACCACCAAGCTCCTCTTGGGTAACATTCTCGTTGGTGACAGACTTTACAACATCAGGGCCAGTGATGAACAGGTAGGAGGTATCCTGAAATCAGAGAATTCCAGAGGATCAATCGCAGAGCAGCAGGGGCAGATGGCCTTTAGGGTTCACACAGCCAAAAAGACAAAAACAGACATGGTAGTGAGACAGAGCAGCACTGGGGTAGCACACAGATCAAAGATGCCTATCCAGACTAAAGACCCAAGTTTTCCCTGCCTGCATATTTAAAAATATCTTTGTTGCATGGTTCTATCTCATTAAAATGATTTGTAGTGTGGCTAACATTTCTGGGTCATTCGTCTGTGGAACACGTGACCCTTATTCTTAACTTGTGGTACATCAAGCCTTTTTCTAAGCACTTCATGAAAATATGTCATTAAAGCCTAGGTATTATTATCTGCCCCCACCACTACCATTTACAGACCAGGAAACTGAGGCACTGCGACGGTATGCAGTTCACCTAAAATAAACCAGCTACATTAAGTGAAGCCATTTGGAGACAATGATAATCAACAGTGTATTCAGACGGTGACAGGCGCTTTTTTTATTATTATTTTTTAAGATTTTATTTATTTATCTTAGAGAGACGGAAAAGGAGGCAGGAAGAGAGGGAGAGAAACACCAACGTGTGAGAGAAAAACAGATCAGTTGCCTCTCACAAGTCCAACCAGAGGACAGGCCTGCAACCCAGGCATGTGCCCTGACAAGGAATAGACCTGGAGACCTTTCACTTTGTGGGACAACGTTCCACCAACCAAGGTACACCAGTCAGGGCCAGAGGGTAACAGGCTTTTAATTTTTAGTTTCTAATTTAAAGATAATAAGGGCATATTGTAAAAAAAATATAAACAGAAGAACAGAAAATACAGGCCCACATCCCAGCCCTTATTTCCACGCTTCCAATTTCCCCACCCAAAGGCAACCACAGTCAGTTTCTCTTTCCTTACAAAGATATCCATGCATACAGGGTCTGGCAGAAGTAAGGCCTGCTTGAGTGTGGTTGGTAGGGGAGTAATATAGGTGTAATAATTTATAGATTTAATTAGAACATTTCACCTAAAATGTCATACAGTATGCTTGAGTGTGATATTATTATGTTACAGAATTACACGCTTATGATTTTGTAAAAAAGGGGCAATATTTGTGCCAGACCCTGTACATGAGCGTCAATATAAACATAAACTAAAAATATACATATTTATGTACATTTGCCTTCTTATGTTCTTTCCAGCACAGCATCCTATACACACTGTACTGAAAATTCTTGAAGATCATTCCATACCAGTACAGGATAATTTATTTAACCCCAATTCATGATAACACATGTCACCACAGACCAAGAAGGAAGGTTCTTATCAATAAGAAGGCTCTGGGCCAACTAGCAAAATATCTCTTCTTTTTTTTTTTAAGATTATATGTATTTATTTTTAGAGAAGGGGAAGGGAGGGAAAAAGAGAGGGAGAGAAACATCAATGTGTGAGAGGCACATCAATTGGCTGCCTCCCGTGCACCCCCAACAGGGGAGCTGGCGCACAACCCAACCATGTACAGGCTGGGGAATCGAACTGGCAACGTTTCAGTCCATAGGCAGGCACTCAATCCACTCAGCCACACCATCCAAAGCGGAAAATATCTTGAGACAAACAGAAAAAAACAAAACAAAACTAGCCTCTATTTCATACTGTGAGTAAAAATCAATTCCAACTGAATTACAGGCGTAAATGTGAAAAGCAAAATAATAAAGCTTTTAGAACATAGAAACTATCTTGGTGACTTCAAGGTAGGAAAAAGATCTTCAAGAATTAAAACACACTACCCATAAAGTTTACATTTGATATTCGTTCTCAAAAGGGCACAGAAGCAAGCTTAAAGGGACTGCCACTGGGTAAGTGAAGGGCCATCGGAGCATCCAAATAAATGATCATAATGGATTATAAACCATTGAGTGAAACAGGAAATCCATGAACCCATATTAGTAATAAATCCATGAAATAAACAAATGCTCAAGAAAGCAGAGCTCTTCCTTAGAGTACAATGCCAACTGCTATGAAGCAAGTGGCAGAGTTGGAAAATAACAATTTTCTAAAGATTGTTCAGACAAGAATCATCAATAGAAGCTAAATCAAGGAGAAAAAGTGTAATGCAAAGCACCACACTGCATGGTCTCAAAGTTATCTTCCCAATGAGTATTCATCAGTTGAAAAAAGAAAAACGATAATTATACAGTGGAGAAACCAGACAACACCTTGAAGAGTGATCAAATTAATATCACTAAGGATGGGGGTAGATGGATATCACTTGACTCCAGATGCGATAATCTGAACAGAATACAATGTCACTTATGTAGTAGACAGGTCAAGATACCTAATCTGAATCTAGTCAGGAGGAAACATCAGATAAACTCAAACTAAGGAACAATCTATAAAATAATTGGTTGCATAGTCATCAAAAATGTCAATATCATGACAAAGAAAGGTATCCAAGTAGAAAAAGAACAAGTAAAATTCTCTGTTTGTAGATGACATTTTATATTTGGAAAGCTTTAATGATTCCACAAAAAAGTTAGAACTAATAAACAAATTAAGCAAAGTTGCAGGACACAAAAATGAACATCAGTTGTATTTCTATACATTAACAACAAACAATCCGAAAAAGAAATTACAAAAACAATTTCATTTGTAATAGCTTCTAAAAGAATTAAGTACTTAGGAATAACTTAACCAATAAGGTAAAAGACTTATGCACTGAAAATTATAAAACATAGCTGACAGAAATTTAAAAAGACACAAATAAATGGGAAGACTAAATACTGTTAAGATTTCAACACTACAAAAAGCAATATACGGATTAAATGCCATCCCTATCAAAATCCCAGTAACGTTTTTTGCAGAAATACAGAAATCTATCCTAAAATTGTTGCAGAATCTCAAGGGACTCTGTATAGCGAAAACAATCTTGAAAAAGAACGAAGTCGGAGATCTCACTCTTCCTGATGTAAAAACATACTGCAAAGCTACAGAAATCAAAACAATGTGGTACTGGCAAAAAAGACGGAAGTATAAACCAATGAAACAGAACAGAGAGCCCAGAAATAAACCCTCATATTTTAGTTAAATGATTTTCGACAGTGATACCTACACCACTCAATGGTGGAAAGGGCAATCTTTTACAACAAACGATGCTGGGGAAACTGGATAGCTACATGTGAAACAAAAGCTGGACCTTACGTTACACCATATACAAAATTGAACTCAAAATGAGTCACAGGCCTAAACATGTTGTACACCTTAAACTTACACTATGTTATATGTCAATTACATCACAATAAAGCTGGAAAAAAATAAAAATAAAGAAGAGAAAGCAGTTTAGACTGAAATGGCAATGAAAACCAAGACGGTAGGGCCGGAAATATGGAAGTGCAAGAGATGCCAGAGTATGGCATCATGGAAGCCAAAGGAAAAGAATATTGCTTTAAAAAGTGAGGAAAATGAGAATTAAAGAGCATTTATGGTGACACAAAAGTCACTGATGACCTTATAAAAACAGGTTTAGTGGACTGAGGGAATAGAGAGGTAAACCAAAGTATGTTAAGGAGAGAATGGGAAGACAGAAACAGGACATGAGCCACAGAAGATGCAGACTAAGGGAGGGCTTTTGTCCTTGTTCTGAAAATAGGAAAGACCTGAACATGGTAAGTTCTGATGGAAGGATCTAATACCAAGGGAGAGACTGAAGAGAGTATATAAGAGAAAAGAAAACTGACAGGATAAGGCCATTGAAAACATGAAAGAGTTGTGTCCAGTAATGTGCATGTATGTGCAAAGAGGGAGAAAAAATGGCCTTAACCAGAGGAATGGATACCACACCTCCACTCCTACCAGAGAGGAAGGAGAAGAGAGCTGGGGTAGCACCAGGTAAACTGTGGAATAACTTTTTTATTATTATATTAATAAAATATAATAATATTAATATATTTTAGGAATATATAGATTTAGTGGGCAAAGCTCAGGGAGTTCTGTTTTGTTCAGGAAGAGATGTGGTCACCTTAACTTTTAAAACCCACCTCTGTAGCTAAATATTTAGGCTGCTTTCAATCTGTCACTAAAAAAGATGACTTGGGTCAAAGGGTAACCACTTTTCTAAACTTCTGAAGTCCTACTGCCAAACTACCTTTGAGAAAAATGGGTTTCCTATTTATACTGTTTCTATTTACACTGTTCTCCTCTTATTGAATGACTATCTACTCATTCTACCCTCCTGCCTTCCTGTCTTAGCATTTACTGCTCATTATTGTTAAAAATATTTTAAGAGGAAAAAGACTGATTTTTTTAATGATATTAGGTTAAGGGTAATTACCCATGTGTAAATTTAAGTAGGTTTCATTTAAAGATCATTTTAAAATATCATTCCATCAAATCATGTAATAAAGATATACACCTTTCAAAATGAAGCTGGGGGTCAGATTTACCATTACCATTACATACAAAATGTAATAAAATGGCAAACAGCCAAAGGAAAAAAGGTGGGACATTAGAACAACTTCTCAATAAAGAAGATTATAGAAAAGCCTTCCATGAGAAACTTTCTGAATAGGATTCAGTAAACAATTATCTGTCTGGGCACAGGACAGGATCCTTTGATTACCTGAAAATCATTTGCAATTCAGATCAACAGGTAAAATCACCCACCAATGAAGTACACAAGTGCATTCTGCCACTGAACACCCACAAGCTACAGGTTTCGTGCCAAACCTTTTTCTCCACTAAGACCTTATCATCACTAAGCTGAAAGCCAATGAGAATGCAGATAACAACCCAGATCTGGGTCAGGAATTATTTTTATTTCAGGTGAGGTACTGCACAACTCTCAAAGGGCAGGAGAAACAGGTCTTTCTTTCTTACCTTTACCATGAACGTGAAGTCTGTTAGGGCTGGGGAGTAGACAGCCCCACCAGCGCATGGGCCCATGATCAGAGAAATCTGTGGGATGACTCCGGATGCCATGACATTCCTCTGCCAAAAGAGAAAGGTAAAGTATCTGGTTACAGAGTATTGGAGGCATTATTTGCAGAAAGATAAAGGCAATAATAAAGTTACACTTGGCTTTTACTCACAGAAATTCTATCCTGGAGGTAGAAACCTAATCAGTATAGTTTCTTCCAAAACTATACATGCAATTTGTCCCCATAACAAGTGGGCTGGTTGGCATATTGCTTTCTGGGGCAAATACCCTCTCTCTTCTCCCTCTTTGGCAGTAGTTCCCCCAAAACTCCACCAGGACATGAGCTCATATAGAACCCCACCACTCTCACCCTAGCTCCAAGCACACCTGAGGCCCAGCACCCATCTCCACAAAGCTGTCTAGAAGAATGAATGAAAACCTTAGGCATAACGCACAGGAACACCACTTATCCTGGAGCCATTACCTCTGTTCAGAGTCCTTTGACAACCTCCACATAGAGTACCGGCAGTTATGAGGCATGGCAAAGAGACAGATGCTACTTCACTCCAAGTATTCAAGGGCCACCTACCCTTAGACAGGGCATGCAGGGAAGACACAGGTAGTAGGAGCCAGAAAGGCTCCATGAAGACAAAGGTGTTGTGAAGGGCCAAGCCTCGGTCTACCTCCTAGGAAAGACAAGACTAGGTGCTGGAGAACCCAGGCAAGATAAGGGCCCAATGACTCCTTGCCCAATGTTCAAATTCTTTCCTTTCCCTTTGCCCCATCAGCTTAAAAGAAGAAAATTCACTTTTAGCACTGCCTTGGATCTGAGACCAATTTCTAGAAATCATAGGACATAGCTCAGGATGGTACAAAAGGGCATCCATCTATATAAATAGAGGATTCTGGGAAGATGGCAGAGTCGGAAGCACCAGGAATCTATCTCCCCACAGAGAAAACAACTGCACTGGTATAATCTGCCTGATGTAATTTTGGGAACTCTGGACTCTGTTCAAGGCTTGTAACCTCCAGAGGAAAATCTGGACGGTAAATTGTGGTTAACTTCCATCAATTTCAGCTCTTAAGCACATAGTAGCTACCAATCTCCCACCCCAACCATAAGGCAGGGAGCTTATATGTGTTCCCAGAGCACCTTACACAGAGCTTTCAAAAGCCAGAGTAGGGCCCTGGCTGGTGTAGGCAAGTGGGTTGAGTACCAGCCAGTGAACTGAAAGGCACCAGTTTGGCTCCTAGTCAGGGCACATGCATGGATTGCGGGCTGCATCCCCAGTTGACATGTGCAAGAGGCAACCGATAGATGTTTCTCTTTCTCTTTCTCCCTCCCTTCCCCTCTCTCTAAAAAATAAATAAACACTTTTTTTTAAAGCCAGAGTAGATAAATAGGACCCTGTCCTCCAAATATTGGGAATCTGTGTTCTTTAATTTCCGATTCTAATCTCAGAGGTGAGTTAGAGAGGTGGGTAGCCACTGTTAGACCCCCCACAACTGCTGCAAGCTCCTCCTCCTCCAGCTCAACATCACCAATCATTAGTGAAATGCAAATCAAAACTGAAACGAGATGCCACATCATATGCATCAAGATGGCTATTATCAAAAAAATAGAAAACAAGTAGTGTTGGTGAGGATGTACAGAAATTGGAACCCACTGCTGGTGTGAATATGAAATGGCACAAGTGTTATAGAAAACAGTATGGAGGTTCTTCAAAAATTGTAAAATAGAATTATCATATGATCCAGAAATTCCACTTCTAGGGATATATATATACCAAAAGAATGTAAAACAGGGTCTCAAAGAGATATTTGTACACCTATGTTCATACCAGCATTATAATTCACAATAGCTAAAATGCAGAAACAATACAAATGCCCATCATCAGACAAATGGATAAACAAAATGTAGTATGTACATATAACGGAATATTTTTCAGCCTTATAAAGGAAGGATATCTACCACATGTTTCGACATGGACAAACCTTGAAGACATATGTTAACTGTAATATGCCATCCATAAAAAGAGAAAGGCTATATATGAAGTACTTAGCCAAAATCAGAGACAGAAAGTGGGACTGGTGCTTGCTATGGGCTGCAGGGAGGGGATAACAGGAAGTAATTACTTAAGGAATATAGAGTTTATTTGCAAGATGGAAAGAGATATGAAGATGGATAGTGGTGATGGTTGCACGACATTATGAAAGTTTTTAATACCACTGAATTGCACAATTAAAAATTCTTAACTTGGTAAATCATATATTATATGTATTTTGCCACAATAAAGAAAAGCTGGATATGTTCATGGCAGCATTATGTACAATAGCCAAAATCTGAAAGCAGCCCAAATGTCCATCAGTAGATCAGTGGATAAAAAAGCTGTGGTACATTTACACAATGGAATACTACTCAGCCATAAAAAGAAGGAATCCTTATCTTTTGCAAGAGCAGAGATTGACCTGGAGAGTATTGTGCTAAGTGAAGTAAGCCAGTCAGAGAAAGATAAATACCATATACTTTCACTTATATGTGGAATCTAATAAACAAAACAGAAACAGGGTCATAGATACAGAAAACAGACTGACAGTTGTCAGAGGGGAGAGAGTTGGGGGGCTGGGTGAAAAAGGTGAAGGAATTAAGGAAAAAATACCCTCAGATACAGGTAACAGTATGATTACAAAAAAGAAAGGGGGTGGGGGAGGTAGAAAAGAGTAAAAGAGGACAAAGGAGACTTGACTTTGGATGGTGAACACACAATACAATATATAGATGATATATTACAGAACTGTACACTTAAAACCTACATAACTTTATTAACCATTGTCACACCCCCAATAAGTTTAATTTAAAAAATTTTTAAAGAAAGCTGAAAAAAATTGTACTCATTCTGCAAAAACTATCAAGATGACTGGGTGGACTTCTAATTCTCACAGAATGAATAGTTCAAAAAACTCTCTCTCCCCAAAACAACTATAAAACTGAACAATGTTGTCAAAAACAAAACATTTCAGAGCTCTGGACTAGGACCAAACAATAACAAATTTGAAGTGTTTATTAATGAAAAACTGCTAAGCCTGAGATAAGGACAGTGGGAGCTATAACATTCTTAACTAAAGCTGTTACCATTAATTAAGGCTGTTACCAGCGCAAGACGTTCTTCAAGGTAAAAGAAAATAATACCAGAGAGTAATCCAAATCCACAAAAAAATCAAATATGAGCACCAAAAATGGTAAATATGTGAATAAATATACAATACTGTGAAAATATATTTCTCTTTTCTTAATGCCTTGTCTTTTAACAAGTTTTTGTAAAGCAATTAATTTAAAACTTTGTTGTTCAGCTTATAATGTATAAGGTATATAACAATAACAGCAAAAAGAAAGGGGATAACATGGAGTTATACTTGCTCAAAGTACCTATATTTTACTAAAATTAAGTCAGTATTAATTTGAAGACAGATTCTGAAATATTAAGATGTACATTGTAATTCTAGAGCAACTACTTAAAAATTCAAAAACAATTTAAAAAATGTCAGAGAAATTAGAAGGTACACTAAAAGTGTATGTTTAACTTCAAAGAGTTGAATGACATCATGGGAAATGATGGAACAGGAAGCTCTAAGAATCCATCCCTTCACCAAAAAAAAACTATTGAACTGACAAGAACTGTCTGAAGCAGCTATTTTGAAACTCTAGGAGTCTAAGCAGGAACACTTGTAGTCTCCAGGGGAAGAAGTAGGTAAATATCAGTCAATTTCCACATTTAGCACAGCATTGCTCACCTCGAACCTGTGGCTGGCAACCACGACATTGGAAGCTGATATTCCTAATGTGGCTTGCTGGTATTAGAGTAAGCAATAAAACACTTGCTCTCCAAACTTCAGCATTGCATGATCAAACTTCTGATTGCTGAGGAGTCAGCACAGAGGCAAGGCATTATTTCAACCTCGACATGCTCAAGCAGTTTCCTAGCTGAAAGGGATTTAAGGAAACAGCTCATCTCTTCTGGGAGCCAGACATTTAAGGAAATCTTTGTTGTGTCACTAATTGGTTGCAGAGACAATGGAACACAAACTTCAGTAATCACGTTCAACATGGAACAAATTTTGCAAAAATTAGCTTGGAAATTGCTTACAAAAATAGCTTACAAATTGCCAGATCAAGCCCCAACAAACAAAAATCAACAATCTCTGAGGAGTGGGACAATTAGATTTCCAACATTACCTAACAAAATACTCAGAATTTCCAGTAGTCAACAAAAAAATTACCAAACACAACACACAAAGAGGCTTGTATGGCTCATTAACAAAAAAACAAAAAACAACAACAAAAAAGATTTTGACAGAAATCATCCCTGAGGAAACTAAGACAGCAGAATTATCAAAGATATTATATGAACTATGTTACATATGTTCAATGACCTAAAGGAAATCATGGGGCAAAAAATAAAAGAAATTAGTAGAAAAATATCTGAACAAAACGAGAATGCCAATAGATAGAAATTATAAAAGGAAACTAAGCAGAAATTCTAGAGTTAAAAAAAGTACAACAAATACAAAGAAAAGCTCACAAGAGGGGTTCAATAGCGGATGTCAGCAAGCAAAAGAAAGATTCAGAGAACTTGAAGGTAAGGCATTTGAAGCTACCCAATCAGAGGGAAAAAGAATTAGAAGAAAGAAGAAAAGGTGTGAACAAAGCCTGTGGGAAACCTTTAAATATAACAAAATATACATTATATGAATCTCAGAGCCAAAATATATATTACATGAATCTCAAAAAAGGCAGGTAAAATATTTGAAAAAAAATGACCAAAATCTTTCCAGATTTGATGAAAGATTTGCATATACACAGCCAAGAATGTTGATGAACTCCTTGCAGGGTGAACCCAGATATCCACAAAGTCACATATAGTCAAACTGCTGAACCCCCAACACAAGGAGAGAAATTTGAAAGCTACAAGACAGAAACAACTCACACAAGAGACCCTCAAAAAAATTAACAGCTGATTTCTCATCAGAAACCACAGAGGTCAGAAGGCAGTGAGATATTTATAATCTTGAG